GAATTAGTCTGCGGCTGCTTTCAAAACAGCGCCACCTACATACTAGCGAAAACAAAATCACAGAAACGTTAAAGCGACGATGCGACACTCCCACGCGTAAACTGGCAGTAATGGAATTCCATACAGTGGGGTTGTGGGCCGACGTGGGCCGAAACCAGTGGTGCTGATCAGCCCACGACCACGCGTGGTAACCGGGCCGAATCAGCGCGGCACACTGGATCGCGGCAATGGTGAACAGGCTTCGAAGCCAATTGTAAAACGACGCAGTATGCTCGCTCATATCAGTTGTTCTAGACCACAAACACGACTGATTAACAACTTCATTTTAAGTATGATGCGTCGTCCACTGATCTGTGAGCAAAAACTTCGCCGATAACTTGTTTGTGTTTAGTACTTATTTTAGCGAATATCCGTTCAATAGGCTCCCAATGAAAACAGGGCTCTAGATTTGGTTCTAGACGCAAGATGCAGCCTGTCTGCCCATTGGGATAAGATCGGTTCAGAGAATGTGAGAGAGTTCACAGCTGCGCTGGATGAGTCCACCCTCCCCACCACACGATGATGTGTAAAGCCTTTATTCAGCCGAGCATGGGGACAGAATGGATCACATAATAACCACACACGAATTAAAGAGTGAACTTAAAGGCTATTAACAACCGAGAGATCAAGTAGTAATTGGCTATAACTTCAGTACTGTGCGCTCAGCTCTCTCGCTGTCATTTGACCCGCAAGTTCGTGTAACAGAACAGCTGTAAGTAAAAGGAATACACATTTTTAATGCCATACTAGATGCGCCATTCTTCCAGTGCATTTTTCAGTCCTTGGAGTATCAGCAACATCATCGTGTCGATTTCAATGCAAGAAATCTTATTACAGGCGTACTGACTGCTGTATTTTTCATCAGTTACAGTCATTATCTTCCTGCATGGAGTGAACCCGAGACATTCACGCTTATATAAGATATATTCAAACACGTCAAGATTGTAGGAGTCTTTGTCGTAGATTGTCGCCTCAGTAATCTAATAGCTCCATAGAGGCCAACCTCACAGTGTCTTGTCGTCCCTCGTGTCTCTTCATTAACGGATTGTCTAAATCCCGAGTGACGGGAAGACAGATTTACGCGATATGGCGGTGGCAGATGCGAGCATGAAGTGAAAGCGATATCCTCTTAAAAGGAGACAGCTCTGAATCCATCCTCATACGAGCACAGACCTCCGTGTACGTTGAGCAGGCATAAATGCAAGGCTTGCTGAGCACTCAAAATGACCCATTAGATCGACTTAAGAGCTTTTAGGAGCTATATACGTGGGCCTTATTCAGAATGAAAGGTTTGGAAATCTGAAAAGCAGTCCGATATAGAAATTACAACGTCGCGATATAGCATGCCACGAAAAGCTGTCAAATTTCGAAGTTAACGTGGTAACAAAATTCCGTTTGCCCTGAACTCCTGAGTTGTGAGTTATTAGCAGACACATCGAACATTCCACTTAGAACAAAACTGACCTGTGAAGTTCTTGCCATTCCGTCCAGTATGGAGACTGGTACATCCTGGTTGTTCACGCTACTAACGGAGTCCGGCGACGTGTCGAGTGAAGGTCTTTCAGCGTGGCCCAATGACAGCAGCCCGGCAACAGTGACAATGGAATCCCCGAATGGACCTTATTCTACAGCACGCACTGATATTGGTGACTACTTCCTTAATGAAAGCACTCTGACCGAAGCCTTGCTTTATACCGAGTCCGATCCTGTCCAAGATACGCCCAAGATATCCACGTGGCTAATTCTTCACGCCGTGATACGTGCAGTTGTCCTGTTCATTACATTTGGGGCGAATGTTTTAGTTCTTTACGCGTACGCAAGGACAAAGAAACTGCGCACCTATACCAATTATTACATCGTAGGCTTAGCAGTTGCAGACTTGGTCAGTGGCGGCGTTATGCCTGTACTAGGATTCTTGGAAGACTTCCAAGAGAACTGGCCTTTTAGTGAGGCCTACTGCACATGCACCATATATTTCGATCACATTTTCCTGCAAGCAACCTTCATGATGACGCTCGTCATCTGCTACGACCGGTTCCGGGCGACCAACATGCCGCTGAAGCATTTGTCGGAGAAGACGCTGGGCCACGCATGCTTCCTGATATTCCTCGGTTACTTCATCCCAGTACTGCTGTGGACGCCTGTGATCATTATCCTCCCGTACGCCGGAGTCATCGGGCGGGTGCGACCTCCCAGTTGTCATGGCCCATACGCCTTCTATCCGGGGTTGTTGACATTTACGGTGCTCTCTCTATCCTGGGCACCCATGAGCCTGGCTGTTGTCCTGTACGCTTTAGTCTACTGCGCTATTATTCGCAAAGGTCTTGAAAAAAATCGAGGAAATGCAAAACCGACTGTCTCCCGGGCCATTTTCAAGAGAAAGGCGTTGCCCAAAGAATCTTTCTCGACAAGTAATTGCTCTGACGCGGAATTACCCGAACAAGCAAGAGACGCGGAGAATGCCTCCTCTGTGTTGAGCGTCTCGGCCGCAGTCTCCCGAGGAATGAGCAACCCAGCTTTGGAGGTTTTTCTGGAAAGTGATCAAAGCGCTGACGCGGTTAAGTACCATGGAACGACTGGGCCAACACGAAGGCGGACTACACCTTCAACAGGGCAACCTCACCCCCACGACAGACCGGGAGACTCAGCGCGCTTTGGACAATTGTCCAAACGCGAGAGTCGTCTGGCCACTGGACGTGCAACCCGCACCCTCACCCTTGTCTTCACGACCATGATCGTGTCTGCCATGCCTTGGTCGGTGTTTGCCTTGTGGGCAGCAGTGGACCCAGTGAGCTTACCGCCGTCAATTGTGAGCATCTTCAAGGTGAGTGTTGTTTTATGAGCATCCAGTTTCAGTCGTCGTTTGTTTGTTTGTTTGTTTGTTTGTTGGTTGGTTGGGGTGGGTGTGTGTTTGTTTGTTGGGTTCTTTGTTTGTTTGTTTGTTTGTTTGTTTGTTTGTTTGTT